AATCATACTTCTCACACTAAAAGCTTCTCTTTGCTGACATTTCTCCCCTTATCTGAACCAACAGTGACCTTGATACACCATAAGTAAAATTAAACTCCACTTTGTTTCTCACCTGATGCAAAATTGTAGGTTGTGAAGGCAGAACAGCTTGCAGCACTTACTGTCTGTGCACTTGTTTGTGCCAAAGAAGGAGGAGAAAAAAAAAGAGAAACTAGATGCTAAATTTGTAGGAGAGGATGGTTGGAGAAAAGCAGACGGGAAGACTTGTCTGTTCCGCAGAGAACTGAAGATAAATTATAAAGCCACAATGGTGCTGTGCTGTGTCTTAGTGCTGCTGCTTCTATTTTTTGCACAAACTCTACAACACTAGAAGATTTTGTGCTGACAGGAGCGCACATCAAGTCGGCTGCAGCAAAGAGATTTTTGTCTCGTTGACTTAGATTTAAAATCTTATTTGGAGCAGCTAAATCAAGCCTGAAGTCATGTAGTGTGCACCCTGCTTCGGCTGCCAAAAGTGTGTGCGTTATATTTGGCAAAGTGACGCTTTTAGATTAAAAAGAACACAGACTTACCGGTTGAGTTTTTCTTGTTTCAGCTCCAGATCTGCTACAGCGATCAGCTGATCCAGCTTACACTTGGTCTCTATGATCTCCGCCTCTCTGGGTGAATAAGTCCCACCCTCCTTCTTACGCTGATGGAGCCTGACATGTCAACAAAACAAACTGTTAAATTACAACGGTAAACACAGAATACAAAGGTATGAAAATATCCACAGCCAATAGCAAATACTGACATTTTTACAGGAATTTGCACACGGCATGTTTTTCTAAATTTGGTAAATGTAATAACATTGGCAAATAAATGAATGCCTGGTGCAATCTTACTTTACTGAGCAACAGAGGATGATGATGATTAACACAGCCAAGAAGAAGGACAGCAGTACACCCAGAATGATCTGCTCATCTCTGGTCAACAGCCCATCCGCTACAGAGAGAAGGAGAGACATTAAAGGAAACCAACAGACTCCAAAGGTTGGGTTTTGTACTTTTTTGTTTGGTGTAGCTCAATACAGTCATCCCCTGTAGTAATACCTGAAGTTTTGACAAGCTCTGAGTATTCAGAGTCTGTGTATTGGCCATTAATGTTAGTGGCTCTGAACCTAAACCTGTAAATACAAAAGAATAAACAGTCCAGACTCAGCATCACATTTTTCTAAAACATACATTTACAACAGATAGGTTTTAGTGTGGCTGAGTGTGTGTAGTGCACTCACACATAGAAAACGTTAGACTTCAGAGGTCCATTGCAGAAATGTTCAGTGTTGTTCTCCTCCAAACAATTATCGTTTTCTCCGATCACGTAGGTCCCTTGCATAACTTCTTTTTTCGTCATTGTTGACCGGCTGTCTCCAGGCACGCTGCCACCACCGCTCTGTGGATTCATATGTGATGCCCTGTCCCCCAAAGAGCACGACGGATTGGGGAAGCCTGCATCAGTCAGGTAAGGGGCAGGACGAGTAAAGAATGCAGTCCTCCAGTTGGTTAGGTTCTCCATATCCTTCACTGTGACAGGGTAGAAGTTAGAGAGGAAAGGAATTGCAGAGGGACTGAGTCATATTTCCGCTGACGTTAAGCCCCCCGGCTTTTGCTTACATTTTGTTTTTTGTGAGCTTAGGACAAAGTGACGTACTGTAAAACATGATTTCACTTGAGGCTTATAACACAAAAAAGACAGAGACCCAAGTGTATTCAACTAAAAGTGATGGCTGTCAATGTTTTTTAAGAGTCATACCCGATGACTCGGCCACGATGACCTGAATTTTTGTGATTGGTCCATTGTCGTCACTATAGAAACAGGCAGGCATGCGGATGGTGATACTCCTGTGGGTTACCATGGCAACCCCTCCATGGCCCATCACTGCCTGGGGTCTTTGGGTTGGCTTGGCCGGGGCTGGAACACACCCGCGTGAGCACACACGGGAACACACACAGAGGTTGTCAGGTGAACACCGTGTGTGTGAAGATGCAGTTTTAGTCTGTTAGAGTAACGTACAAAACACAACAAACAGGCCGATGCTCTGAATAATAGCAAAATTGCCCCTCTGCATTATCAACTCCCCTATAATAACAGTGCTCTGTTACATTTGCTGTGTCTGAAAAGGCCTCCATACTGAGAAAAAAAAAAAAAAGTGTGCAGTGACAATTCTCTGTCTCACACTATCCTGCACCGCAGCAACAAGAAGGAGAGAAACACTCCTGAGCATTGCAGAGCGCAGACAAGAAAGAAGGGCTTGTACCTTTGATCCCTGTAGTTATGTGGACACGTGGGCTGGGTGGGCTTGTGCCGGCCCCGTTCCTCGCTGAAATCTTCAGAGAAATACAAAACATCAGGAAAAGAGGACAGGACACAGAGAAGACAACGCAATTATAGAGGATGAGCGTATTGAAAGGGCTGATGGCTCGTCTGTCAGGTGTGTGATCAGTGAGTGTCGTGTGTGTGTGTCCTCACCTGTATGCTGTAGTTTTGTCCTCCCTTTAGGCCTTCTATGACCGCCGCCACCGTGTTATGCTCTCCTTGGGTGATAGTGACGCTGACGTTCTTTACCAGCCGATCGTCGTCGTACACGTACACAAAGTAGGCAGTGATGTTGCCATTGGGCGCCTCAGGGGGGTTGAAGGTCACCCTCAGACGGTTCACTTCCTCTGGAACAACTGAGACGGTCACATTCTTGGGAGGGTCTGTTGGTTCTGGGGACAGAGTGAGGACAACACAATAGTTAGAATTTGGTTGTATTGACAGTTTGACAGCAGCTGATACTACTAGATGAAACTTGCCTTCCTCCAGGGTTTGGAAGTCAATCGGTCCGACGGCTTTTCCATCTCTGGCAGCGTGCTCCAATGGACCCGTGAAGGCAGTGACAGTCACAGCGTAACGAGTGAAAGCCGTCAGGTTAGTCACAATGACGGTCATCAGCTCTCCAGGAGCCCGCACTATTGAGATGTTCATATCGGGACCATGGACCTGACATAACAGCAGAGTTCACCGACACATTAATACGTAATTTCATATTGGATGCATTTAATACACCACATGATAATCTGCCCTTAAGCTGCTACTGCTGTTTTATAACCCTAACCAACATAACGGCATGTTGTTTTTGTTCTCAGAGCATCTGTGTTTTCCGGTTCGCTGGTGACATGCTAATATTTGTGACAAATGCAACCCGGTGAGGTGACCTGCACAAGATATGAAGTCAGTCCAGAGAGAACAGCTGGAGCGTCCCACGCAATGTAAAGGCCGCTGGAGGTGGGGGTCACTTGTAAGCCGCGGGGAGGAGCGTCAGGGTCTGAGGGGAGGAGACGAGACAAAACACGCAGCTAAAGATGTGCCGTTAACTGGAACGCAGTGGCTCAAACTGTGTGTGGCTGATTCATTCATCAAACAAGACTTAACGAAATCTAACCAAATAAGGTATCGTTTATCACTTTGTCCCCAGACACTGAATTAACACACTAAAGACTTCCCTGCATGCATTAGTACTACCAGGGGAGGTCAGTTATTTAATTACTACAGCGCATATGATTATGTTGATTACGATGATTATACTAATGCAGGGCATGACAGTGGTAATGTGTCATTACACGGCACTTGTGTGTGAAGAATTTTAAGGCTGTAATTGTTCAATCATGGCACCTTCTGAGGTAATAATAAGCTGCATTTTGCTGCGTTAACACACCGATGTTACTTGATGATTCTATGTAATTAGCGGTGACCACTTGGTCCACCCTCTCTTTGAATGCTTGTTGTTAGATGTTGTCATGTGGTTCCTAAATGGCCCTTTTATTTTTGGCTGGTTTTGGCCTGAGGTGAGGTATGTGCCTGTTAGATCAGTGCTGTGTGGGACGGCTGTGGACAGTCAGCACCTAGTTGATCACTGAAGGATGATCTACTGCTGATCTGCTGTATTTGGTGTTTGTTGTTTTATGTATATTCTTTCTAATTCTGTTGTCATATGCGCTTGCAACAATACCTTCCTACACCTGATGACAAAAAGACTAACAGCAGGGTTTGAAAAGACAAAGGCTGAGAGTGGGAACAGTATAGTGCTGTAAGGATGCGACTGCAGGATAATTTCTATGATACTGTAACCAATGAAGACATGAGGAATTTGTCCTAATACAACGACTACACTGAAGTGAAGCTGGTGAGCACGTATGTGTTTTCTCAAGCTGCTAATGAAACATCAGACAAGCTGTGTAGAGGCCCTGACTAACTGCCAACTCTTCTCTGGCAACACAAAAAGGTCATATCATCACTGTGATGTTCCTACTTCCAGCGAGGGTGGTTGCATAAATCCACTGTGTGTATTCTCCGACTCCGGCGTTGGTCACAGCAGCCACTTTGAAGCGGTAGTTTCTGTATTTAGCCAGCGATTGGAGTGTGACGCTGTTCTCCTCAGAGCCATCTGAAGCATTTACTGACACCGTGACATCAGAGTCCACGCAGTCTGAGGCCAGATCGTCCTCTGGGGTCGGCTGAGCAGCAAGTGGCATGTTTGATTCACAAGCAGTTGAAAGCAGCTGTGCAACGACGTGGTACTCTTTCAGCAGGCCTGGAATGGAGAGCGGCCGAGCCCAGCTCAGTGTCACATTGTTAGGTGCGACCTGAGAGATGGTGAGGGAGCGAGGGGCAGCTGGGACTGCGCGGAGAGAACGAGGATTCAATCAATTATTCAGTCTATTTTAAATTAGAAATTCACTGAAGTCACAGGGAGTAGCTTCAGCTGTGCCTGAATGTGCAAAATGCTTAACACAGTACAATAGGACTGACTACCTGATTCAGAAAGTGTGAAAGCTGTACAGTTTACTCTGTCTCCCGGTCCTGCAGAGTTGACTGCTGCTACATTGAGTGCATACTCCTGGTCTGGTGAGAGCCCAGTCACTGTGTAGTCTGCCGTGTGAGTCTGGTGGGTGAAGGACTGCGAGTCTACCTCCACTAGAATCTCATAAAACAGGATCTGCCCATTAGGGTTGGCTGGCAGCTCCCAAGACAGCTGAATTGAATCCCAGCTCACTCCTGAGCAAGACAGGTTCCCCACAGCATCAGACACTGCAAACAGAGCGAGAGACATGTGACACAGTGATTTTGTTATTTTAGCTTTAGCTTTAGATAGAATTCTTTATTAGGGACCAAATTTAATTTTAAAGTTTGCCATTGTTTGATTTATTACACTGATCAAAAGGCTGCTACACACATATGGTCTTTGCACAGGATACTGAGTTAATGGAAACTACTGTTTGCAAATGTCCGTATGCAGACAAACGTGACCTATTTCTTACAGTATTAAATATCCTGCTGTACACATTACGCAAAAACACAAAACAAATAGCTTATCTTAAACTTATTACAATTTCAACTAACATTTATTACCAGCTTTTATGTATTTTTTTTCTAGCTAGTAAGTCTGCCATAGGGAAGTGCTGTTCCTCGGAGGAATTTTACTCCTGCTTGTTGTACACTGCTCTCGACACTGCTAAGCCTTTATCGCAAATGACAAACAGATACAACAGTAAAAAAAAAGAATCTGCCGCTTGCACGATCTCTATTGCCTACATAAACTACATGTGAATGGAAAATGCTTTATGCTTCTTTTAGTGAAATTATTTGACTATTTGAATTTTTTTCATGTTTCTTATGCCTTTGTCTATAGGACATGAATTGACTGCAAGGTGTCATCATGCCACCACAAATATGTTTGCGTGTAATAAAAAAAAAAAAAATGGGGTGGCCAACGAAAATGAAAAACGGGGCAAAAAATTTTTAAAAATTATTTTCTTTGAGTTATAAGTAGTGATGCACGATATTAAAATTTCTGGCCGATACCGAAATCTGATATTAAGATTTCTGATGTTGCCGATGTCGATATTCAATTTTTGTTCATACCGAAAAATGAGTATAAGAAGCACTGTGAGAATGTGAAAACTATTCAAAAGAAAGCCATACCAAGTTAGACCACAGGACCCTTTAAGTCAGGGGTGTCGACATCCGGTCCTCGAGGGCCGCAATCCTGCATGTTTTAGATGTTTCCCTCTTCCAACACACCTGATTCAAATGATCAGGATCGTTATCAGGCTTCTGCAGAGCTTGATGATGAGCTGATCATTTGAATCAGGTGTGTTGGAAGAGGGAAACGTCTAAAACATGCAGGATTGCGGCCCTCGAGGACCGCAGTTTGACACCCCTGCTTTAAGTAAAAACATCTGTGAAATAGCAGAAATATCAAATGTAGAGACAAAGGCGCTAATGTTAGACAATCATCGGTTTTTCACATCGGCTAAATTTGTTCATCGTACAATATCGATATATCTGAAAAAACACTAATATTAGCCAATACCGATGTGGTCGCGATATATCATGCATCTTTAGTTCTAAGTATTTTAAGATTGTTTTTATGCATGTAAATTAATTGCTTGTGTTTTTTGTAGGTTATTATGTTTGCAAACCTGCAAGTGTTTCGTTATGAGCATACAAATGTGTGTTATTGTATATCCTCTGGGTGAATAAAATGCATACTTTACCTGACTCATTTGTTGTGAAGGTCACAGGACTGCTGAACTGATCCCCGTGGCCCATTCTGGTGTAACTGTACACGCTGATCTCATAGGAACTATGAGGCCTGAAGCCTGAGAGATACTCTGTGGTCGACGAACTAGAGGAATTCTACAGTTGTTCCCACACACACACACACACACACACACATGCATGCACACACACACAAAATATACATGTGAGATTAAATCATCCAGTCTTGATTGCTGAAGTGGATAATATCTGTGTATCAGCACACATATGTGCACGAGTGTGTAAGTATAACGTTACTGCTGAGTGGCATCTGGAGTGTGAAATTAGCTGCCGTCCCTGTGTACCTGTACGGAGTGGGTCTGTGGAATGTGTGTAGGTGTGTGTCTTATTGTTATTGTGGAGCAGCTTTCAGTGTGTGAAATTAACGGTACCCGATGTGTGACGGTGTGTGTGATGAGGTCTCGGATCCGGAATCCGTACTTTATCACCACTCCATTGGGCTCCAGAGGAGGCTCCCAGCTCAGCCACACAGAGACTGCCGTGTGGTTGTATATAGTCAGGTTACGGGGAGGGGACATGGGGCCTGAAACACAAAGTTAGGCAGATGGAGAAGACGATAGATGACCGAGACATACAGAAGGCCATTACTCATTAGAAACTTGGAGAAAATTTAAACCTGCACCAAAACTAACCGCCTTCATCAGTGTGTAACTGCAGCAGCAGATAAGGCCCTGAGCCTTTGCGCGTAGAAGCCGTAATGGTGAGATTGTAAGCTGTGTATGGAAGGAGGTCAGTGAGGATGAACGAGGTGTTGGGGGTGTGTGTTGTGTTGGAGCCCCCGGGGCCAAACAGAGTGAGGGTAAACTCTGTTATCTCCCCGTTGGCCTCCAGAGGGCGTTGCCACACCACAGCGATGGAGGATGAAGACAGGTTCCTAGTGGACACTAGCAACGGAGCAGAACTTGGAACTAAAGAGAAACACACCCACAAACATGTCACGGTCGCATAAAATAAACACTTCAGAAATAAATGTTTGGGTAGATAAACTCACTGTCTTCCTTGGTCCTCAGGTACATTGTGCTGGTGTGGTTGTAAGCAGCGCCAGCATCAGTCGCTGGAGTAACAGTAACCACATAAGGGAAATACTTCCTGAGCCTAGTGAACAGGTAGATATTTTCACTTGTCTTGTGCTTGGTCGTTTTGTTGACAGCTGGAGTCCCTTGGCTGGATGTGTCTGGGGAGATGCCAGCCTCCTGGAGGGTGAGCAGGTAGAAGGGACGACCGTTTGGCTCCAGGGGAGGGTCCCAACTCACGATGATGGTCGTGGAGCTGAAGATCTGAGCTGACAAGTTTCGGACCGAGTCACTTGGCACTGAAGGAAGAGAAGAGTAGAATGGTGTTACTAATGGTAACAACTAGTGGCAAGACCAGTTGTGAGTCTTTCATTGTGAGTTTACTACATTGCGAGCCAACAAATTAGGACATCAATCAACCATACACACTCTGACACACCAGGAAAAAATGAACATCGTCATCGCCATCATTCTATCTTTCATACTTATTGTCAGCATTGTTGTAGTTTACAAAATCAGCAACAACAGCACATCAAGTCGAACAATACAGCATGACATTACTTTACCAACACAGAAACACAGCAAAGTAAAACAGTACAGTAAACAGACACGGAGACAATAAAATCAACAGCCCATTCTGACATATACAGAGGCACTTGGGAGGGAAATTTGCACACTGAGAATCTGGGATTGAAAGCGAGAAAGACGAAGAGAAATACTCATCCTGTCCATCGACTCAGCTCCTCTGGAAATGGTACACAGAGTAGGAAAAAAAAAAAGGTGGGGAGAGATGAAGGGGAAATGGGAGATAAAACTCGAGAGATCCATAAGATGAATGAGTAGGTGTGAGGGGGCCAGGTGTGTGTGGGGGTCTGAGCCCAGGGGAGTGAACCCCTGCTGGGCTTGGCAGTGCAGGAGAGACAAGGTGCCCTGGAGGTCCGGAGCCTGGCTGAGAGTGGAGCAGCTAGAGCACAGGTAGAGATACAGGGTCAATACAAGCAGTAATCATTCAGGGACAGAGAGTACTTCACAAGCGAAATGTCAAAACAACAAAAAAAACCCCAATGTATGTGACAAAGTCAGTGGTGGCTGTCTGCACCATTTTTCCCAAAATCACATAAAAACAAAGAGATCAGTTTTCTAAACTCTTTTACTGAGCATAACAAAAAACAGAACTAATTATTTTCTGCATATACACATTTCAGATACCATGGCAACAATGTAATTGGTGCATGAACTAGTCTGAACTTCTTTAGGGTTTTTTTTTTCCCCTCCATGTCATCAAATTGTAAGTGGCTCTGTTCTCTCTTTCCCTTGGTTTTTTTAATCCCTCACAATTTTCATCAAGCACAAACTGGCTGTCTTCAAAGCACAGTGTCACAGGCGACCAGTTTGCCAGACTGACAGTTATCTCCTTTCACTAACAGGCTGAAAGCTACATTTTCAATCGCAGAGTTTTTATGCAATTTTTTTTTTTAAAGGTGGGAGAGTTTTGAAAAAAGTGTGCCGACTGGCCCTCCAGTGGGACTCTGAATCACTGTGTGACACTATCTAGCGTCGCTTGAAGTACTTTTATGTGTATGCGTATTTACTTTATCTCATTTGTATCGTCACTGTATGTGTCTGCTGGTGTTTGAGTGTGTGCGTCTGACTGACCGTCCTCCGGTAAGAACACAGTTAGTGGCTCGGACTGGACTCCTCCGTCACCCTGTATGGTGTTAGAGGTCATCCACAAGGTGTGTTCGTATCCCCCAATCAGCCCAGTCAGAGTGTAGACGAAGGGTGAATCAGGGGAGGCGCGAGCAGGCAAATCTGAAACGGGAACCCTCTTAGGAGAAAAAAAAAAAAGGGCAAGTTATTTTCATACACTGACGCAGACACATAAAAACAAGAGCATAATGTGTGCTAAACGGGTGACAAATGAGAAAACAAAACCAACATTAAGTGTCTAAGTAAGGTGTTGGTCCACCATGAGCTATGAGGCAGCATCTACATTTGTCATGTTTCTCACTTCATTTGTTCAGTATTGATTTTTTGGCTGTTTTTTTCAGAGGCACTGGAGAAAGATGTAAACACAACATTGACATGCTTTTACCTTATACAGCTGATACGGGGAATGTGTTAGCATCACTTAGTTATTTACAGACTGAGTAAACACAAAGCTACATTTAGCTTTTATTAGAATTGTGTTGTCTCTGTTCAACAAATGGAATTCCAATCTGATCTTCGTCCTGAGACAAAGATGAGTTTTTTTAGTGGCTAAATGCTGAAGAACAGAAACTAGTCACTGACTTTGCATATTTGCTGTTTGGTGAGTATTTTAAGCTCATAACAGCTGGAGACAAGGTTAAGGACATTGATGAGAATGAGCCAAAAACAGAAAAGCTGCTCAATGCAAAGTTGCTATGATTACGCTAATTTCCCATAACACAAAGTCATACAACCTATTTTTGATTTAAACTTGCTGATCTGAGCAGCTTCAACATGTGAACTGTTTGTAGTCTTTATATGGGTGCATGTGCCTCACCTTCTCAGCTACACTGTTGTTGTAAGAATAGTAAATAGTGAAGTGTACAATGATCCCATTGGGTTCAGTGGGTGGATACCACATCAAGGTGACAGAGGAGGCCGTCACGTTTACTAATGTCACATTCTGTGGCGGGTCGAATGGCTCTAAGACCCGGAATAGACAAAGAGATTACAGTCAAAAAGTCAGGAAGAGAAAAAAGCATCATATAAATACATAGTAAAACATTATTGTGTATGTGAGCACAAAAAGTTATTTAATATTAAATTAGTAATTAAAAATTCAATTATTATGAAAACAATTCTGTAGTATTTATCCAGTACCTGCAGCAGTGGTGGTAAAGCTGATGTGGATCAGCACTCCTCCATCTCCCAGTCTGGTCCAGCTGGAGACGGAGGCATTGTAGCGACTCTCTGAGTCCACATTAATAACCACTGATGTGCCTGTCACATTCTGCTCCAGCTCAAACGTCTCATTCCTAACAGAGAGAGCAGCCGTTCATGCTGCATTATGTTTGTGCTTTCTTTTTAAACTTCTTACTGTCAAACAGGCAGAGTAAAGCAGATTTCAAAACTCACCAAACTCTGACAATGTAGAAGAGGATGTCTGAATTGGCTTCAAGTGGTGGTTGCCACGATAGCTCTACCTTATAGTCTGACAGCTTCCTGGTTTTAAGGAACTGAGGAGCAGTGCTTGGAGCTGAGATGCAGGAGAAACACTTTCCAGTAATATTTGACAAAGCGACTTATCAAACTGGTAACAAATGGTGAATTAATTACAAAAATATTTAGCACTGTGCAAGTCAGGAACTCAGACGTCTCAGAGGAAGACACCAGGCAGGAGCAGAGCGTCGCCCTAAAAAGGAAAACTGGTTAGTTGTAATGATTCAGCGCTTCTCAGTCCTGGTGGAAGACACGAGCGTCACATGGGATAAGATCCCTGTGATGCAACATTGTTACCATGAGCTGAAACAGAGACACGTAGCTGAGGAAGAAAAGATTTAATCAGATGCCCTTCGAACTTGTCAGCCAGTCATGATGTAATCGTGCAGTGTCCTGGAATTGAAAACAAACCCTCCCCTTTTCTCTTCCCCCTTCGCCCGTCCCTCTCACCATCCTCAAGTGTGGTGATGTTCAGTGGCTCACTGCTGTGGTTTCCTGGCCCGACCCGTGTGTGCGCTTGAACCGTGACACGGTACTGTGCGTACTTCCTCAGATGCGTGATGTGGATGTAGTTGTTCTTGGAGGTGAGGTTCAGGTAGTGAGTGGAGTTCCAAAGCTCCAGACTGTATTCAATAATGACCCCGTTAGGCATCAGTGGAGGTTGCCAGGTCACGTTCACCTCACTGGGACTCACTGCATCATAGGCGAGGCCATATGGAGGACTGCCTGGCACTGGAGAAGGAATAAACACCAGAAAAAAGCACAGTTGAATTGATCCTAAAAACCTTTCATATGTGTATTTTTTCAAAGGTGGGTGCATCCGTCAACGCACCATCTTCTCCAGACAGCAGCCACAAGGTGTCTGACATTTGGTTGCCGTGGCCGTACCGCGTGTACGCCTTCACAGACACGTTGTAATAGGAGAATGGTTTCAGATTGATCAGAGTGACTCTGTTGGTGGTTGTATTAATCATTGCAGAGAAGGATTCGTTCTCATACAGGACCTCATAACGCTGGATCATCCCGTTAGCTCTCTCTGGTGCAGACCAGGTCAGCGTGGCAGCAGAGGGGCTGGTGTCAACCACGGTGAGGTTCACAGGTGGGGAGTCAGGTTCTGAGGGTGACGGACAGGAGAAATTAACATGATTAATGACATGAAGTTAAAAAGTAAATTACCTTTCAGGCTGTTGATGAACTAGCAAATAATCTAATAGTGACAATTACGGATGTGAAAGTGACAAATGAACTTGAATTTCTGATGGTACCCAGGTGAAAGTAGTCGAATAGCATGAGAAGGTTTGTTGTTCTGATGCTCAACACTAATGTGGACTTTGTATTTTAATGATCAGTTATCTAATCCATGAAAGTCACACAATTCTTTTAACCGTTGCATTTATGCATGAATACACCGTGAGTGCTCATCACATACCGTCCTCTAAAGTGAGAACAAAAATGTCATCGTCCTCAGACAAAGAGCTCTCTCCCACAGCTGTAGATGCTGCTACACGCAGCTTATAACTTGTGTACTTGTCCAGATCTAAACATTACAAAAAAAGAATTTATCCACATTTTGGTTACAATTATATTCACTGCAAAGAAAACATGCACATTGGTTTGTATATTTGTGTACACAGAATGAACACTCTACCTGTTATTAATATGTCGGTACTGTTAGAAACCCACTTCAGTGCCATGTTAGTCTGCAGTTTGAGACCATAAACGGTGTAATGTGTAATCCGTCCATTGGGATTGAGTGGCGGGACCCAGCTCACCCGGATGGAGGTGGAGCTGATGTTTTCATACGACACGTCGAGCACTGAGCTGGGGACTGAAAGACACGCACAGTGCAAGACATCATTAAAGACGAAGGAATTCTTAATGATTTTGCATCTTTGAAATCCCTTTTAACATGTTGTTGTGTGCGCACCCTGCTCCCTGGTCTTCTCGGTGATATCTGTAGCAGGACCTTCTCCCACAGTGGTGGAAGCAGTGACCCTGAACGTGTACTCAGTGAAGGGATTCAGATCCGACACCAGGTAAGACAACTCCTCAGACAAAACGTCCAGCACCTCCTCTCTCACTGTCACACCTGCAGCATTCAGATAAGCACAGATTTATAAACTAAATGAACGGTGGAGACTTTTCAGAAGAATCCGAGCAAAGCCAAAGTTAGGACAAGCAGTGTTTACAGTTAGTACTCTCCCACCTGTAGTACCAGACACTGCTGCGCTGCGTGTTGAAAAGTGTCCTGTAATTGAAGCGTCATGTGTAGACAAGCGGAGCTGGCCTGGGGTCAGGGCCAAGGGGGAGGAGTCTGAAGTCATACCCCCAGCTTGTGATTGCTTTGTCAGCCAGGGTGGAAGTGTAGCAGGTGGCACAGAGGTAAGAGAAAGCGCAGAAGTTGCAAAGACAGTGGAGTCAGTCGACTGAGTGTCTGCGCTGTGAGAGTCGTAAGTGGGGCTGGGCTTGTCAGTGGCCATGGGGTCAATGGTTGGCTGAATATTGGTGTTAGTGAAGAGATCAGTGCTTCTGAGTCTGGAGTCTGTGGAGCTGGAAGCGGTCGCCTCAGTGAGCAGCGTGCGATCAGAAACGGTGGCCGTGAAAGTGGTCGGGGAGGTGACCGCACTGAGTTCAGCATCTCTCTTACGTCTCCCCGGATTGTTAAGAGCATCTGGAGGAAGAGTCTCCTCCTCATATAAACCAGTTGTATTCTGAAAGACAGAAAAAAATCCACAAAAGACACATTTATTAATTTTATTTTTGTGTATTTTTCATATGTATTTATACTCCAAATTAAGTCTTTGATTTGTTCTCGTTAAGTGCTGTGTAAAGCAGTGCTTTTCATTCATTCTGACTCATCAGCTCTTGAAGCAATTACTACTTGAAACAGCAGACATCAGCAGACAACAGACATGGCTCCCTGTTTACAGATGTAGATGTTTTTATCATCATCCCAATGATAGAAATTTTAATGGTGGAAATGTTTCAGTTTACATGGGAGCATTAAAACATGAATAGAGAACCCTTGCAGCACAGTGTAATGCAAACCACAGTGCCAGCTGGTTTAAAATGCTACCTTTTAAAATTTTTATAACCGAAAACTGTCAAAAATTATAGTGTTTCTGAACCCAGTGTTGATCTTTGAGGCTCTGGTGGTGTGTATTTTTCAAAAATAACATACTATAAAATCTGATGACAGAGCTTCTCATCATTTTTTGACAGTTCTAGAAGGACTGTACTTATGTTCACGATATTATGTGCATCACCAAAAGCGGGGTTTGAAGCTGTTTACTCAACATTTACAAGGTAAAATCATGTTTCTGCAGGTCTACAGGGTCACATATGTTTAAAATGTCCAGCAAGTCTATGCATGATTGACAGTCCAATTTATTCCAACATATTCAACAGAACTGACTCAGGTTTTCATATTGATTTGTCAGCAGTGCTGAGCTGTGCTGTTTAAAGGTATGGAGGCAGCAGCATCTGGTTTACCATTTCTCCCGTGAGGGTGATGTCCTGCAGCAGAGCTTCATCTACCAGGACCAGCAGCCTGTACTGGGTAATGGGACCGTTGGGCTGTGCAGGGCTCTTCCAGCTCACACGAATGGAAACCGAATCTTCAGCGATTGCCACCAGGTCCTGCACTGCGCTGGGTGCTGCTCATACAAACACACAGAGTTACACACAGACACACAAGAACACAAATCACATTCATAATCTTTTGGACTTTCTAGTCTTTTTTTTTTTTTTTTTTGGACAGTTCTTCGGTTGTGTGTTCTTAATGCCCCCGAGTGCTGTTAAGCTTGTTAATTTATTGTTCTAATTAGGTTTATGGCGACATTAGTTTGAGTGTTCTCACCTTCAGCTGGCGTAATTATGTCATCGTGGGCTGCTGGTCCCGTCTCTCCAGCTGCTTTTGCCCGGACGGCTATTCTGTACTTGGTGTAGGGGGTCAAACCAGTAAAAGCAAACTGCATGTCTGATGTGCTGTTCTCATACAAAAAACCTGGAATAAAGATAAAAAATAGAGACCTGTGTTAATTTTTAGTGTGGGTTATGCACGGCTATGTGTGTGTCTGTGTTTTTGAGTCCATATTCAACAACCTGTAGGTCCGTATAAGTAGAGCACGTAGGAGAACCTTCCTGTGATGATGTTGGGAGAGTTCCAGGACACAGAGATTGATCGAGACGTCATACTTAATATCGAGAAGTTTTGTGGCGGATCTTCTGGAGCTGCATACATAAATACAGAGATGATGCAGAGATTTATATTTTTCTTTCAAGCTGAACAAAAGATGCATAGTTTTTTTTTTACTTCTGTGCCATACCGGATTCTGGCATGCGGACCATAGTGGAGGCTATCTGTCCCTCTCCATCAGAAGTGAAGGCAGACACCTCGAACAGATAGGCAGTGTAAGGTCGTAGCTGATCGACTCCTACTGATATGGGCACACTCCAAGCGGCCGCAGGGGGCACGGCGGAGAGGGTGACGGGTGGAGACGATGCCGTTATCTCCAAGGGACTGGGAGTCGCACGAGACAGGATATCAGCTGCATCCTACACATGTAAAATCATAAAGCACACACACAAAAAGAAAAGGATTTAAGAAAAAAAAAAAAATAAAGCACTTTCTCAGCTTGTGTTGTACAGATGGTCAGGCTTGTGCCTCGGTACTATCTGTAATCCTGACAAAAAAACAAAATGCATTTCACAGTTCAGAAAACAAAGGGTGAGAGAATGATGCAGTACATTGCAGTGAGGCAGCGCTCCAGTCATGATGTCCTCTGCATTGACCTCCAGCATTCGGACGGTCTGCCCCGTGCGAGCATGCTTTGCCTTGACTGCAAACTTGGTGATGAGGCCGTTGATGCGGTGTGGCAAGTACCAGGTGACCATGACGGAGGTGTGGTTCTGAGCGTACGCTGACAGATTGGTCACCAGGCCGGGGGCTGCAGAAAATACACACAAATATTAAATGAATTCCAAACGAATGTGCGTGTAAACTATTGTTATTTTAGACGTTGAGATCAGATTGCAAGGGTGTGTGCATGTGCATGAATACCCACGGGACTCAGCTGTCTTTATGTATAAAGACTTGCTGAATTCTCCTGTTCCAGCTGAAGATATAGCAGCTACCTGGAGAGAGAGAGAGAGAGAGAGAGAGAGAGGGACATAGTTGCTAAGCATTGCTCAGAATGAATAATTCATGCTCCTGTCAATAGAGCAGTTACCATGTCCCAGTCAGGCACTAATCTCAGACAATGATCTCATCTGGAACAAAGTGTTTCCGTAGAGGTGATTCAGTGATCCCGGTGACCAACAACAACATAGCCATACAACAAACCCTGTATGTTAACAGTATGTAAACAGATCACAACACAGTTACCTGAGCCCGAGGCACATCTTTGAATTTCTCAGCGATTTATATACATCAAATGAAAGTGGATGAAAATAAACTGTGCGTGAAGTGAAATATAAAGAGAAAATGAAATAGCATTTTAAGTCTGATTATCCGGCTTGTCACAAATTCGGGAGTGAATGCTAACTCAAACCTTGAAAAATGTAAATGTATTCATCTTTCATTTCCTTCATTTTCACACAGCAGTGCCGTGCGAAATACCTGACATTTCAAAAAAAAAAAAAACAAAGACCAAAATCAGTTTAGTTTTGGCATAGTTCCTATCTGAGATCAGATATCCTCAGACTTTCTTCCATTTCTCTGTCACCTGACTCTGACACCCACCTCCCCTGTTCCCAATTCCCCAATCAGCCCCTGCGTATTTATAACCACCAACTCGCCACTGTTCTTTGTCAGTTCAGCACTTATACACCACCTTAGTTCCTGTTGTTGTTCTGCTTTTGCTTGTTCATTTTTCTTCCTGATTTTCCATAAGATTGCTTTAATAAACCACCTAAACCTTTCTTGCCTGCCTGGTTGTTTCTGCACTTAGATCCTTCCTCCTCCTCTCATCCTTGTACAAAACAAGCTCGATTTTAGTTTGGCCATCAAGCATTTTCTGTTTTATCTAAACAATTTTACTTATTCAGTGTACAATTGGCAATATGTCTTAATGCAAGCAACTGGGGCGCATTTGTAGTGAACGAATAAAACACAGCAGTCTAATGTTAAACAGACGGCACAATATCACAACCTCAGAATAAAACAACAGGAAATGTGAGTTGAATCAGTTTCTTTCTGATTTGTTCACTTTCAGCTTCATACGTACAATTGCTCTTTGGGGGCTACTGAAATAAATGAAACTGTGCAAGCGTGATATGTCACTTGAAAATCACCAAATCTCAAAAGAACAATTACTCTGTAAGAAAAAAAAAAGTTATTTTTTTTATCTGTGTCTCATATTCAGCTTTCATGATTCAAAACAAGAAATATTCTGGCAATGGATTTTACAGGGAAGATTCACTAACTTGAAACAAGACTAAACAGGACTGACTTCTGCATTTTTATCACGAATTCAGCACTTGATTGGGAAGCAAAGGCATTTGTGTCGCAATACACTATGCAATTCTTTGTGGTCATTCAAAAATAATGAGTAAATAATAGACCACACATAACTTTTTTATTCTACCATGTGTAGGGTAAAGGCTGAAGACGGAGGGGGAATGTGCTCATGAGCTCAGCTGTGTGCAGGGTTTAGTGGGTCAACTCCCTCCCAGGTGAGGTGTAGTAATATGATACATGCACTCATAAGCACACACACACACAGGCAAATACAGCATGAGCAGGTATAATCAGTGTGTGTGTGTGTCGGTCTCTCATAGTCCATTTGTATGAAGGTCATTGTGGGTTAATGAATTCTGAAAACTAATAAGCATGATCACATTCAAGCTCAGTGACAACAGACAGTGGAAAGAGACGTGGCTGATCCATAGATCTGTTTACCTGATTAATAATGCAATCAGGAATCAATTACCAGTATTCAGCCAGATCAAGAGAATAGTCTGGTCCTGCGGGATCTCCATGACATAGACACATCCACATGATAAGACTAAAGGGCATTTTCCAGGAGTATGTTTGCTTTGAGATACACACAGCTTGCTTGTGCTTGAGTGTACTAAGTATGAATATTTAACTAAATACACACAGATACCCAACAGTAGTGTTAATCTTACCAGTGACGTATGTGTAGAATCCCTACAGGACAACTTGTTCTTTTTTTATCTTCTCTGCTCTTTGTTCACAAAGGTTCTATTGATTGAATACGGTCCCTCAAGCTTTTACATTTTTACGCGCTTGTCAAACAAATTTCTGCAAACACCAATGAAATGGAAATGAAGTTTCGATGTCGATTTCTGCATTGCGTATCCTACCTTGATGTTGTACGTAGAACCTGAAGTGAAGTCAGTGAGCAGAGTCTCTGGTGCATCCGGTAACCTCATCACCTGTGAGAAAACGGGATCGGGGTAGGGACACACCTCCTTGTACCTGCAAGTATAAATCATTATTGAAGTTCATCACATCCCACTTAACAAAATCCAGTTATTTACAAACAGTATGGGGCCGAATGAAGGAGAACAAGATTTGCTTTCTGTTAGATTCAACTGTCAGTGATGGAAAGCAACTTTTATTGCATTTAAATATAGTTTTAAGGTGTAAACCTACTTCACTATGTCTTAGGCGATGCTATCTCATTTTGTACTCCACTAGATTTATCCAACTAGCTAGCTCAAGCTCTTTGTATATTGGTTGATTATATTGTTAAAACCCGAAGCATCGTGGAGTGAATGGAATCTAGTCAGGTGGTTATAGACAACAATCGAGTCTTTAACAATAAAGACCAAGAAAAGAAAATCTGTAGCAAAATATTTCAAGCCTTTTTCAGAATTTGCTTAAACCAACCTTTTCAGAATTATGGTGCCTCTTTTATTCTTTCTCGCATCAAGAATTGCACTATTGGGGAATATATATTCAACAAGTTGACTAAAATGAAAACAGGTTGAATTATTGCTATTGCTCCGCCAGTTGAGGTTTTTAGGTTCCCCTTACAAGATTTTTTTTGCAGGTTTAAACTCCCCAACGGTTAGTAAAGAAATAAACTCGCAACATAAAATCTCCATGTACATCAACAACAAGAATATCCTACTCATGTACACTGATCAGCTGCAACGTTAAGATCCCCTGCTGCCAAAACAGCTCTGATTTATCAAGCTATGGCATCCACAAAACCCCTGAAGGTATCCTGTAGTACCAGGCAGCAAGGCATGAGCAGCAAATCCTTAAGCATCTCCCAGATGCTTGATGCTGATTTAGATCTGGATAACTTGGAGGTCCAGTCCGCAACTCTTTGTCATGTTCCTCAAACCACTCCTGTGCTATTGTTGCAGTGTGACAGGAAGCATTGTTCTGCTGAAAGAGGCCTCAGCCATCATGGAATACTGTTACCATGAAGAGGTGTGTGTGGCCTGCAACAGTGTTTAGGAAAGTTTAAGGTGTCAAAGTAAGATTCAAATGACTGCCAGAATTCAAAGTTTGCCAGCAGAGCATCAAGGCATCCTGTTGCCATCTCTTACCCAGGTAAATTACATGCACTCAGCTGTCCATATTATATAAAAGAAAACGTGATTCATCAGATCAGGCCGCCTTCTTCAGTTGCTCCATGGTTCGGTTCTGACGCTCACACACTCTCGACAGGGGTTCAGTATGAGCACTCGGACCACTCTGCAGCTACTCAGCACCATAAGCAGCAAGCAGTGATGCTCCGTGTGTTCTGAGACCTTTATATCATAAGTAGCAATTAAGTCTTCAGCAATTAGTTCTACAGCAGCTCCTCAGTGGGACTGAACCACAGGGGTCTCCTTCGATCTCAACACATATCTATGAGCCTTCAGTGCCAACGACTCTATCACTACTTCAGCAGTCGTCCTTCCTCGGAGGACATTTGGTAGGTACTAACCACTGCATACTGAGAACACCGCATCTTAGAGATGCTCTGATCCAATCCTCTAGACATGACAGCTTGGCCCTCACGCTGCTCATTGTTCCTGCTTCCAACACATCACTGTCAAGAACTGGCTGTTGACTTGCCGCCTAAGATATCACCCCTGACGCATCCTTTGGCAGGTGCCACTGTAACGAGATACTCCGAGGGATTCACTTCACCTGTCAGTGGTTTTGATGTTGTGGCTGATCACTGTATGGATCAGTGATAATCCTGTGACATTCAGTAGAAGACACTGAAAAGGCCACTTAGCATAGCGAAGTGCACTTTGCTGAGAATACTTAGGTACTTTTAAGAGTAGAATGCAAGACTTTGGATGTTACTTGTAATAAATGTGTAATAGAGATCTGAATACTTCTTCCACTGATAGAAGCTGCTAAAATTTTTGTGTGAATTATGCAACAACTACATGCATACAGCAGTTTAACGAGGAGTTCACAAAAACTTAAACTAAATTCATATTTCTCAACATACTATAATATGTATTTAACATGTTTACTATCATTAACTGAAATGTGCATCTTTGTGATATTTTCTTTTTCTTTATTGCTATTTTGCTTTTCTCCAATTTGAAAACTGACTACTTTTTCATTTTTGATCTTTGTTGTTTCATAATGACTCCATACATGATCAGTGGTTACAACTGCAATTTCACCATTGAATCTTGCATTTCAGACACAGCTAAAACCAAAATGAATTCTGAATCCATTCTCTAAGGCGACACTACCTGATGGCATATGACTCGATATTTCTGGTATCAGACGGCATTGTCCAGGAGAGCAGAATACCATTAGAGCCCACAGCTTCTCCCTCTAGGGCATAAGGGGTCCCGGGTACTGGAGAAGATGAGGAGAAATGTGTAAAGGAGAGGAGATGAGATGAATACCAGCAACCAGAACATCTGATTTCACCCAATTAGCTGCATATACATGTACAGCTGTGCAAACAGTCGCAAGTTAACTATCAGTACTGGAACCAATTGGCGTCTCAGTGGGCTCAAGCATATTTCCACTGTCTTATCTAATCCCATCTTCTCAGTCCGCTGCACAACATACAACCAATAGAACTTAGTACACATCCTGTGATTAATAACCATCGCATCGCTCAAACTCTACAGAACACAGTGTCATTTGAAGAATAGCGTTGTTGTCTATAGTGGGCCGATCTTTCGAGCGCGTGCGCGTGCAGGTGTGTGCATGTGTGTTGGGATCGCGAGAATGTGTTTTAGGCTGAACCCTGATGAATAAGGCTTCACACAGCAGTGGCATTTCACTGACATTCACTGCAGACCCATTCATCCTGTGGTTCAAAAGCCCAGGCTTAAGTTACCTAAAAGGAATTAAACAGCGAAGGAAGTATACACACACACACACACCACACACACATGCTCACACACCCACAATGCTAATTCCTCTTCACTAGTGTGTGTGTGTGTGGGTGTGGGTGTGTGTGTACTGTAAGCGCTATACTATGGTGGCTGAACGAAACAACAGAGGGCACCTGAAAGAGAACCCGACCGTACTTTAACACCCCAAAACAAAACAGACACAAACAACAACAACAACACACTGGGAGTGTATTTGTGCACGTCTCACAGCTCTCATTAGTATTGATCATGCGGCTGACTCCGGGGCTGATGTTGGAGGAGACGGCAGCTGTGACTGTTACAGTGTACTGTGTCCCTGGACTGACATTCACCACGTCGGCCTGTGGACACAGCAAAAACACACCTGGTCACAATGTAAACGTGAACACACACACATAAACACACACACAACACCGGCCAGCTCACGAGTAAAACACTGCAGTGGCTCCTGATTCTTTTTCTCTGATGGTTCACATACAGCTGTGGTTCCTCTTCAATGTGCAAATGTGTTTTTATTTGAATTTTATTTACACTATTAACTACATTAAACAGTGTATAGCAATAACAGTATTGCCATTTTTGAGGCTTGATCCATTTTTTTAAGCTTTTCAGTCGGTTTGGTCAAGTTTCTATCTAGGCTATTCCTACCTGGACTGGTCACTGTCATGCATTGTCAATCACAGAACATTGTTATCTCGGTTGGTGGGATGTGTGTTGTCCATATACTATATGTAGTTTTTCGCTTAGTGTTGCGATAATACACAAAAGGTCAATTTCACACCAATTTCTTAACACAATCTCAGTTTGGAGCTTCGACAAATGCTTCATTACCAATTAATCTACAGAATATCCTCTTGATTGTTCATTTTTGCTACTGAATGAATAACAGGAATGTGCCACCATCGCAATTTCCAAAAAAGCCCAGGGTGATGATGTCCCATTGCTTTTCTGTCCGGGCAAGCTCATTATTCCGCAGAATAATCTCCTTAATTAACAGCAAGAATAAACAAAACAGCTCATCTAAATGACAGAATACATCTAAGTTGTTCCTCCAATAATCCTACAGATATTCAGCCTTCTGTTATTTTATTTCATTATGCAGCCTATTAAAAGAGTTTCCACAACTCGACTCAGCCATCTGTATCAATTTGAGGGTGGGTGGCAGTGAATGGATGACAGCTTGTGGTTGCACTTGTCGGTATTTTTATATGTGTGAGACAGATGAGCAGTGTCTCTTGTGTTGCGGGGTTTTTGCTTGAGTGCATGCTGTAGCCAGCAGTGCCACCTGTGACATCAAGTGTGTTGAGAGGCAGCATGAGGATACACGCATACCTTCAGTTACTCTCAGGAACACGGTCAAACATTTTCTGTATTTGTGCGTACATGCCGTTTAACAGAAAGTGTGTATTTTATGTAGCTGCATGCACACTTATTTTTACTGCTTAAACAGTGCAAGAATAGTCTGAGCGGTTAGTGTATAAAATGTACAGTGAGTGTATAAACATCCGTGCCATACATCTAGTGCTTACCTGTGAGCGCACCTGTCCCAGGTTTAGTGTGAGCAGCAGGATGACTGAGAAGAAAGCCATGCTGGGTAGCAAAGTTAGAGTTAGTTAGCAGGTTAGAGGCCTCGCCAGTACAGCTGCATCCAGTATTAGTGCACAAACTTTAACGGGTGTGTTCTACAGGTAATCCACTGTGCTGAACAGCAGTGAGTCCAAGTCTAGAAGCTGGTTAGTGGCATGGTTAAAGGTCACAGGGTTAGACATCCAGCCATTGGATAGTAGCGGATATTGGTCTTGAGGTATTCCGAAATTTTAGCGGTTCGCGAGGAAGGGCAGTGGGTCTTTCATTTAGCACGAGGCTAATGCCTTCCCTCTGGTCTCTCTTCCTCTCTTGGGAGAGCTGCTTAAGCAAATGAATGATTCAGGGTTGAGCTCATGAGGGCAACTTAATAAATAATGAGATCTATTACTCAACTCTGTGCTCTGTGTGCTCTCTATGTGTGTGTGTGTGTGTGTGGTGTGTAAGGTTACATTTCGGGGGGTATCTGACACCTGGCAGCCGGGAAGAGCCGGTAAGGGGCGGGATGTGGTTGAACGAGTGTGTGTGTGCCTACTGTGTGTATTCACTATTACAATACAGGTATAAGTGTGTAGCTCTAAGTTTTTCATTGACATTTATATCATTGCATTTATGGTATTTAGATGAACTGCACTGCTGTGTTGTCTAACTTGTGACTGTTTAAATAGCATGCGTTTACCTGAACGTGTCCATCACGTGCAGGGTGAACTGTGACTCTTCCCTGGTTCGGTAGCAGCTTCACTTGGTAATGATCCACACAACCAGCTGCCTGCTCCCAGCGCAACGAGAACGCACGTGCAGATACATTCACGACACGTACTTTCTGCACACGGGCTGGCACTCATGAAGGAAAAAGGGGGAGACACATGGTCAGAGAGGTGGAGAAAGTTTCTGCAATTTAGAGAAGACACCATCGGGGCAGACGACGTTAGCGGGGTGCCGACCAGCGTGGTCCTTGTAATATCATCTACCTGTGGTTACAGTCAGAAAGGCAGCGACTCCTATTGTCCCTCCTCTCACTCTCTCGGCGCTCACGTTGTAGCTGCAGCCGTCCAGCAGCCCCGTAACCACGGCAACCCGCTCCTCTTTGGGTATAGTGATTGTGTTTGTGACTGAAGTGTTGGTCACATTGACTCTGTGGAAGTCAAAGTCTCCCTGCGCACGGTCCCAGCTCACAAAGACAGAGGAAGAGTTCACGTTATCTAAATGAAGGCCGCAAACTCCTGCTGGGCCTGGAAGACAATTGTTTTTTTTGCAATTTTACAAGTGCAGTTTTCATTTTTGAGACTAAAATGTAATAATATTTTACTGTGTGCTCTTATCAGGGTATTCTGCTCCGACTGAAGAAGCATTAGTAACTGTATAACGTTACGACCTGTCTGTTTCTGTGTGTGTGTGTCTGTATTAGTGTTTGGGTCTCTTACGTGTGCTCAACTCTTTGTGGGCCGCCTGGCTTGTGTCTGAGCCCAACACACTCTGAATGATGACACCGTAGTCTGAACCCGGAATCAAATCCCTGATCTCAAAACTTGTGCCCTTGACCGCCACCTGACCCCATGACTCCCTGTCCGTGGACGTCAGGCCAAAAAGAAGCTGAGAAAAACAAAACACAATCCGTACTCTTGGCTTGAAGTCAATTTTTAACTAATAACAGTGAAAATACGACAGATTTCCGTTGTATTTATCTTTTATACTCAATATTAAATGTCTCTTATTTAGCTTTATTAGAATAAAATGAAATTAAATAACTAAACATGGACTTTTTATTTTGCGTGTAATGTGCTTGGTCATTCTTCCTGGCCGTTGCTCTACGGAGGTCATATATCTTTAAAGGGCTGGTAACCGAATCTGTGGTGTGCCAAAAGCAGTTGCTAAGTAACCAAAAGGTGAGGACAGAACCTTACGCAACTGACATCTTTGTGTCATATTTTGAGTTATGTGCTTGTAAGACAAACGGCAAGGACGCACGCCAGTGGGCACATCTGTCTGGAAGTTACAGTGGCTTAAAAGTCAATACTGCCTGTATGTGTTTCCGTGGACATGGACAGACACTGTAGTGCGCATGTCTTACCTTGTACTCCCCCACCTGTCCTGGTGGTGGTCTCCAGGTGACAAACGCAGACGTCACAGCCTGTTCTGAAAGAGACACTTCCTGTGGCGCCTCTGGGACTGCAGACAAGATGCTCATTATGTCACACCGCATACCGACACCTCATCATTGTCATCAGTCACGGCATGAAGTAAACTTGTTCTGTGCTTTATTTTGAACCAGCAGGAGGAAACGCTGGAGATGACAGAGCACTGAGATCCAAACTAAACTAAACTAGAGGAAGCTTTTCTGTTATTTAAATGTCATTCAAGTAAAAAAAATTAAGCAAAACGTAATTACAGTATTAATTAAAAACGTCCCCTGTTAGTGTCACCAGTATGGTATTACATATATATCCCATTATTGGAATATTATTATGTATTATGCTAGGCATTTTATATATTATTGAAGCTTCCTTTACAGTGCACCATCATTTATTAATTGATCACATGTATTGTAGTAAAAAAAAAAAAAAGAGAGAAAAAAAAAATGAAAATGTTGATCTGTGAAGTAAAAAACTAAATGATTTACTCTAATTTGAATGTTTTTTTTGGTAAACATATCTATCTGTAAAATTAATGAGAAGTCTGTGCTATCGCTGGAAAAGCAAAGATAATTTCCTTTTTTGGCTGCTCTATCTATGCTTCAAGGGTTGTGTTCTAGTTTCTATTTTAAAAATAATTTATGTAGCACCGCCATCCTTCTCTGACACAATATTGTAATATGTTGTAAGTGAAGCTGATGAGGACTGAAACCAAATACAGACTTTGCCTCTCCTTGTAAATATATTATAATTTTACTTTCTTAATCTAATATATGAGACTTTAAAAATGTTTTCCTCTTCTCCAACTTTTTTTTTTTTTGCTGCAACATTAATTTTGGGTTCCAAATCATTTTCTTTCTTTCCCTTTTCACTCACACATACAACAAATATTTAATGCAGCGTACCACACATGTCTTGACTTACTAGTATGTAGGATCATCGTAGCAGGTTTACTTCTTCTTTCCCCACTAACAGTAATCACTTCAACTGTGTATTGGCTTCCAGAAGCGAGGCCTTCAAAGCTGTGTGATCTGTAAACACAACTCCAAAAGTCAGCGTTTTTAGACAAAAGATCTTTATGATTGTACCTCCAGGCTCATTAAACTACAATAATTTGTATACAGGCTGACAAGAATGAGACCGACCTGGGCTCCCGATGAGTGATGACCAGCTCTTGAATGGATGTACTGTTTTTGATTGACAGGAGGAACACGCTCACCAGTCCCCTGACCATACTCCAACTAATGCATATGGATGATGTGGTTTTATTGACGAGAGAGATCTCCACTGGGCTGGGAGCTGCCACGTCCAAAAACAACGCACATCGTTAGAATTCGAAAAGAAAGATGGAGGTGCTTGCATTTGTGTGTGTGTGTGTGTGTGTGTGTGTGTGTGTGTGTGTGTTTACCTGCAGTGATACTGACGGTGGCCGGTGAACTGTCGGTGAAGGACTCCTTCTCCGTCCGCACTGCAAAGTGGTAGAGTAAGCCCGGAGTCAGACTAGAAAACACTGCACTCTGAGTTAACACCTTCTGCACCTGTGGCACACAAATCAAAGCAAAGAGGCTGACCAAGAGCCTTAGTGTGATTCTTACAGCAATAATTAGAGAGAAAGGGGAGATTACAGTCATGCACACACATTAATGTTTGATACATAAAAACATGCAAACTACTGGTCACCATGAGTCTGAAACTGCTGATGAGTTCCTTGCTCAAGGCAAGTCATTAGTCATTTCAGTCTGTGCAAGCGCTCCTCATTTAATTATTTACCAAGATGTGGAAAAGCACTCTGGGAAATCAAACATGAACTTCAGCAGACCTGCTTTTTAATCATGTGAAAACATAAACATTCTGCATTATTAAGCTGTTGTGTTGTTTACCTGGAGTGGGTGGTCACAGTTGAGGCATGTGACCTCGTAGCTGTGAGATTCTCCTTCAGCCGGATCCCAAAGCAGTTCTATGGATGAGTCAGTCACCACGCCTTCCCTCACTCTGCTGGGAGGAGCCAGGCCTAAAAACACAAACCATAAACCACAATCTGTGCTGTAATTATTCCTCTAATGTACTGAAAAGTACTAATTACCTTTGGTCTGGGGAATTAAACTAAATGTATTACAGAGAGTTAAAGCATGACAGTCACAATAAATGTAATTTGTTAAAAAGTGTTCTTGCAAAAATTTGCAAACATCACATTTATTAAAAGCTAAACTAAATTGTAATCAAGGTTAAATGACAAGTTTGTCTAGTAAATAACATTAACCTTCTAAACTCCAAAACCCACTAACAGAAAAAAAACTAAAACATTTTATCTTTAAAATTGCCACAATTACTGCACTGATTACAGGCAGAAACTGTAAAAACAGAAAGAATCTCTGGATTTTAAATCATGCGATGGTCCTTGAACTACTCATCCATGTTTTTTTCATTAAACTTAACCAGATAAAAGCTTAAAACAATGATATTCCATCAAAATTACGTGCAAATGAATTTGGAAAAAAATTAATCATTTGATTTTACCAGAAAAAAATAATAAAATTCACTCCTTGTTCACACAATCACTATTAGAGACTTTTCTAAAACCAAAAGTCAGGTGACAAAAATTCAGGGTTTTTTCTGCACTACAGACTGTGCATACACCAAGGAGTAAGGAGAAAGTAGTAACGGTCACCATTTAACATCCTGTAACTTCTATGAGCACTTGGCTTTCGTTTTGAGTTCTCTCCATTTCTAGTCATGGTTGTTCTGTTTCCATAGAGATGCAGGACTTTATGCTGCAGTGAAAAATGAGCCCACAGTGAGTAAAAATATGACAAGAGAAAAAACTGCCAAGAACCTGCTTGGAGTTCAGAGGGTTAAAGATGACATTAATTCTGTTAATCCAAACTCTCCAGGCAGGCTGCCTTATTTTAATTTAGGAACCCAGACAGAAAAGAAGCTCAGTCATAACACTGTTAGACCTTGATATGGTGTTTCCCACAAAAGGGATCTGACTGCCTTAAGATGTGCACTGGCTCAGAACATTATATCATACAATGTAATATCAGTCCTACAGCTAAATTTTGAGTTATCACCAAAAAATCTTCAAAAAGAAGAAGCAGGGAAGCTGAGCCAATATTAGAGTGGATTACATTTTAAATCAGATTGCTGCAATCTGCATGAGACGAGGATGTAAAAACTACTTTTAAGTGAAGCCAGAGGAGGATGGCTACAGAAGCACAGCCATGTAGGGGAGGGGGGGGAGCCTTTTCCAGATTACAGTACAGCACAGCAAGCAAACAGTAAACAGCAAAAAGGATTTAAATTTGGAAATCAATCTTGGCTGAAAGAAACCAGATGACTCTGCATTACACTTTGTGCGACATCAGGAATTTCCAATTTAGTGGCGAGTGGCAGTGTCAGGTAAAACTACATGGGCTTTCTTCAAATAAACATCCAAGAACATGACGCACACAGGGTTTCAGGTGATGTATACACCACAGCCTGTGATGGAAACATGTGGGTCAGCGGGTGTACTAATGCTAAGAAAAGACTTCAAGAACCAAATGTATTAAATACAGAAACACTTACTAAAATTTACTGGTGACATAAAGATGAACAGACCACACTGCAAGCACGTTATCTGTCACCCTGTTTCAAAAATCACCACATCTCAGGCTGAGACAAGCTCTTTATATGCTCAAATAAATGCAATCTCATCTTCTTCTATTAGATCAATGGTAATCCAGGTTCCCTCCAGTCAAGGCTTTTCCAACAAAGAGACAAAACGCAGAAACAGAGAGGCTCCTCACATCTTTACAGCCTTGAACGAGGCAGACAGTGAGCTGCTGCTTACTTCCAAGTGATCTATGTTTGACTCTTGAAAACACCAGCCAGAGAAGGAAAAATTGCTTTACACAGTCCAAACGGAAATTATTTGGACAGCTACAAATGTTTTTTCGTTCTTCTTCACATCCAATTTGACATAAAATAATGGAAGTGCCAGTTCTCAGTTTTAATTTGCACCTGTATGGAAAGCACTGCGTGAGAAGATTTTAACACATGTATGAATTCAGGGGTTCCAAAGTAATTGGGCTGATACACTTGAAGTCAAACTGGAAATTGCTTTGCAGCTGATAACAGTCTTAAGTTCTACAGACAGATGCTTTCCATTTTCCCCATTGATGCTCTCCCTTCAGCTCTTCCCTGTTTTGTGGTCTCTCTGCTCTCTTCAGCAAGGGGACTGCAGCTCAAATGAATTGAGATCAGGAGACCAGCCTAGCCCCGTAAGGACCCTTCACCTTTTCACCCCATTGGCTGTTTATGTTTAGGATCGTACTAGGTGTCATTCAATGAGTTTTGATGCGTTTGACTGAATCTGAGCACACAAAGAACGCTCCTGTGTACCTCTGTATTCCACTGGCAGCAACTCATGCCCGAATCATAACAGAAACCATGTTTGACAGATGAGGTGATAGCTGTTCCCTTTTTTTTTTTTTTTTTTTGCCTCCACACTTTCCTCTTTCCATCATTTTGACAGAGATTGATTTAGTTTCCTCCACAGCTCTACCAGTTTCTTTTTGTATATTTTTTGTGAGCTGTACCCTGGCCTTTCAGTTTCTGAAGATCACCAGGGGTTTGCTTCTTACTCATCATATTGACAGAGTGCTCCTCCTCAATCTAAAGGGCAACACTCAACTCTCATTCAACTCTCAGCTCTTTTGTACATGAACTAATGTTGAAGGAACATCAGTCGCCAAGCGTACAATTAATCTGAACCCTTGCAAACTGGACACCGTGTGTTAAAAGGGTTATATCTCACACATGGGTCTCTCTACGTCAGTATAAACCAATTCAAATTCCAGCTTAGAATTGACAATGTAGTGTGAGTTATTAAATGACGGATTCAGAGACGATAAGAGCAGATAGCAGGTTGCTAATGGTCCCATTGCGCTGTGAGTTCATTAAAGTGGTTATGAACCCCAACGTTTGTACTGACACTTCTAATAAAAGAAGCAATTCGAACATGAATGACTAATACATGCATGCCATACTAGTGGAGATGACTCACTTGTTCTGATGAGCCGGGTGTAGTACGGTGGTCCGATCTGCTCTCGGCTGGTGCTGTACACGCTGAGCTGGTACTGCGATCCTGGACTGAGGTTGCTAAGGGTTACGGTATGAACGTCAGCAGGGAGGGAATGCCAGTCACATGTATATCCGCATACTCCCTTACACGCAGTGTCACAAACTCCAGGACATGCACACACTTTCACCCCATCAGTCAGACCCAGCTGTGGATGCTGAATGTACAGTTGTGCGTAGTTTGTGCCCACTGAAAGAGGAACTGCTACCTGCACCGGCAACGGAGCTGCACACACAGACAGACAAAAGGAGATAAAGATAGATTATGAAATAGATAAGACGCTATCTAATTGGGCAGTGTTCTTGTTTTTCTTACCTGTGGTGTGTATGATGCTGGATCTCTCACTCCTGTCATTTCCCCTCATAGTGGCGACTCCCACTTCATAAGTCTGACCAGGAGTAAATGTCCCCAAGTGAACACACACGGATTCATTTACCCAGAGTGCACCAGAGCTGGACTGGTTTATCCACAGTGAAGAAGCAGTGGGATTATTGAGCGGCTGGGATGTGAGATAATAACCATCTGGGGGATCATCAGGTGGACTGGTCCAGCAGACTGTCAGGTTTCCTCTCAGGCTCGACACCACCAGTCCGCTGGGAGCCATCACCGCTATGAGGGACAAATAACAGCACGTTATGTAGTTGTCAATGGACCTGGGTCAACGAGTTCATCTACAGCTACATCCACAGCCTGCTTTGCAGGATAGGCGAGCAGATTTCTAGCCATTTATGCCAAAGGAGGCAATTATAAATGTCCCTAAATTTGATCGCAGAACAATTCCAAAAAGGGGCTGCAAGGTGGATCGGTTGTTAGCACCGTTGCCTCGCAGCTAGAAGATCCCAAGTTCGTCCTGGGATCTTTCTATGTGGAGTTTGCATGTTCTCCCCTCGCCTCTCTCTGGCTTCCTCCCACAGTCCAAAAACAGGTTGAGGTTAATTGGTGATTCTAAATTGTCCGTAGGTGTGAATGTGAATGTGCTTGGTTGTCTGTCTATATGTGTGGCCCTGCGATAGATTGGTGTCCTGTCCAGGGTGTCCCCTGCCTTCGCCCTGAGTCAGCTGGGATAGACTCCAGCCTCCCCCCTAGTGAGGATTAAGTGGTGTATAGATAATGGATGGATGGATGGACAATTCAAAAACTGTCAGGTAGCTTCACAAAGGCATTGAAAACCATATTGAAACTGATCCACTAAACATGCTTGGTTGCTCATCCACATGGCTCTTCAAAGCAGGAAATTATCAGTGTTTATTTTTTTGTCACATTACGACAAATTTATTTCCTTAAATTAAATCTAATTTAAGGGAATGATTTACAGTTAAAGAACTCCACAGCAAAACTTCTGTGAACCATAAATGTAGTTATCGCACTAACTGTCTAAATAAGATTATCAACATGGGGAAACAACATGCAGTATAGCTTACATTTTATCTTGTTTTTCAAAATTCATCTTTGAGGTATTTCCAGCAATTACAAATACACTATATATGTTGTACAACAAGACACTTGTCACGTTTTCAAGCTTTTGAAAAAAAAAACTACTCCTTCAAAAGCAAGTTCAGGACAGGCACCAAGCCGACACATTACCATAACATGCTCACCAGTCTGTACAGTCAGAGGCGCTCGTCCACAGCTCTCTATCCCGTGCTTGGCGACGGTGTGAACTTCAATCCTGTATTTCCTGTGAGATTCCAGCCCTCCAATCACAGCAGTGTAGGACTGCATCCCACCGCTCTCAGACACCCTGGAGATGTTGTTTACTCCAACTATATTATCCCGTCTTGAAGACAAGTCCTCATAGCGCACAACAAATGTCCATCCAGCCACATACTGTGCATCTGACAGCATCCAGTGAACAGTAATCTGACTGGCTGTAATGGGGCCAGCGGTGAGATTTTGTGGGGGAAGAGGTCCTGGAAGAAACACAGCATTAAAAATTAAAGTTAGCGTCTATTGATATTAGAGTTTCCATAATTCAGTAATTAGTAGTAAAAAGATAAAAAAATTGGAGAAGCGATTGAGTAATTTTTAAAGAAAAAACACCCAAATATGGTGATTCCAGCTTGTTATATTTGAATATGTTTTTGTTTCTTTACTCCACTATGACAGCAAACTGAACACCTTTAGGTTTTGTACAAAACAGGACATTTAAGGATGCTATCTTGGGCCCTGGAAAAGACATTTTTCTGCTTTCTCTGACATATTATACACTGAACATCTAATCAACAAAATAATGGACCACAAACATATTCATTTTTGCAGCCCTAATTAGAATACAGTGCTGATTGTGTAACTTGTGTTTCTGAGAGGTTGTCAGCAGACTCACTGGTGTAAGCAGTTTGTGTTTGTCCCAAGCTCCAGATGAAGCCAGAAGGGTGAGAGGCTTGAAGGGTAAAAGAGTAGATGCTCCCTGGAGATAAACCTGCCACGGTGACTCCTCTAGAGGACAGGGAAATTGGGACGCTGACAATTTTTTTAATGCTGCTCAGGCTCTTTGTTCCCTTTTTGTCCCGTGGCTTCCTGCGTCTGCGTTCTTCACCTTGACCCGACTCTTCAATTTCCCTCTCTTGGTATTGGAGGAATATCTCGAAGGATGAAAGATTAAGTGAGTTAAAGGGCGAGAGGTCACTCCAGCGAAGCTCTACCTGTTGCTCTGTCACCTGAACCAGGTCAAACGAGAAGGAGGCAGGAGCCAGAGGGGCTGTCAGAGAGGAAGAAGGAAATCTTAGTTAACTGAAGAGTAAAGAACAGTGCTCACAAATTATGTCATTTGGGTTACCTAGTAAGTGTCTTCGCTATTTATTCTGAGACTGAGTGAGATAATGTGTAAAATGTTGTTGAAAATAATAAAATATATACAATTTTTAAAAGTGAATTAATCATCTTAACAAGCAATACTTTATTGATAACCCCTCAGAAATGTTAAATAGTGGATATGCTGTGGATAATCTGGTTAATAAAGGTGTATTAAACGAGTTATTCACTCTGGTACTGGCAGATGAAGGGTAAGGGGATGTTGCAGAAGAACGGAGTGAGAAAGTATCCTGATCCGGTGGCGTTCCTCTGAAAGGCAAAACAGTCAGTCTGGCCGGCTGGCAGCAGAGTCAGCATGTTGTTTGTTTGGTTAAATGATGAGCCATCAGACCAGAGAGGTAGGCCCTCCTCCTGTGGGGTGAGCAAGAGACATCACCAGCTCAGCGTCATTAAAATATTAAAAACAAAGCTCCTCTTTAAGGAGTACAACCACATACTTTTCCAGTTTACATAGTAAACTACTTATTGTGAAAATCCTCTAATGGTGATGTCCTGCTAATCAGAACTTTAGCAATGACTCAGACAGTTATATACTGGCAGTGTCTATATTCTGAAGCTATAGTGGATTATTTGATCAAAACTGTAAAGTTTAATAACTGCAAAAACAGTGTAAATAATGTCAAAGATTATAGCTGATTTAAATACAGTCAAACACTTATTTTACAGTCAAACACTGTAAAAGACTGATTCAGTATTTGTAAAAACACATATTCGTGATGAATTATTAACAGTTTTGGCCTGTTTTGTTTTACAGTCAATGTGTAAATAAATACTTTTTTATGTGCTTGTACTAGATATTATCTATAAGTTAACAAACAGGGAAAATCTGTAGAGTAAAAGTGAATTGTTTTAACAAAAAGAAGTTTGTTTTGTTTTTTATTTAACCTTTTAAACCTCATCTTTAAACTAGTTCTTTTGACTATTTTCTCAAAGCATATCACAATCAGAATTCTATTTAGGTAAAACCTGTTTTTTTTGTCTTACAAATGTGGATTTTTTAAATATGTTTTCTCTGGTGCTGGAATCCGTGCAGGGATTGTGTGACAAAACGGTTGTGCAGGAAAGTTTAATTATACTTCTAAAATTACTTAAGCCCTACAGGGTATAAAAATTCTGTACCTTGCTTGAAATATTTAATCAAAAGGTTGTTTTGACAAATCCTTTATTAAATTACTAAATGCTGAGTTATTTATGACAATTCTCAATTGTGATGCTGTTAGAAAAGCTATTTCAGCAATGTCATAGAAATAATTAATCAAAGCCACTTTTTTTTTTAAACTGTGGCTCACTTCTCTTACTGTAAGGATGAAAAGGATTTAAGGATTTTTTTTCTGTAACAAGACTACCTGCTGGTCATTAAGTCCAGTCCATAGCAGCAGCAGGTTGTCGTGGGTCAGGAGATAAGAAGACATAAAAAGCAGATCTTCCAGGGTCTTCAGGTCTGCCAGGTGACTTCCAGCTGCCAGGTCGGAGCAGCTGTGCTGGGCGTCACTCCAGGTCAAAGCTGTCCTTCTCACAGTGTAGCAGCTTCTCCCGTGGGCCAACCAGCCAGGTGGGCACCGAGCTGGAGACAGACATTATCATCAGCATGAAACAGATTCCTGCCTGCAGTCAGTTTTGCGTTTTTTTTAACGAAGCTGTGGTCGGGTAGCGTACAACTATGCAATACCTGTTTCCATAAAAGTGCTGAGTTTCTGCTTCAAGGTCACATTATACTCTTTGAGGACCGAAGTCACCGCGGCTTCAACCTTGAAGCGTGTGCCGGGCGGGAGACCTTCCACTGTGTGCTGAGACTTTATCTCTGAGGCGTTTATGTTGAAAGTGTGGGTCACGGACTGTGTGTGCGCGTTGTATAGACTCAAGGAGGATAGCATCTGATGCCTGTGAATTTTCCATTTCAAGAGGGCAGTGGTGGTTGTGCCGTGCACATGAAAGGAGGACAGGGACACTGGAACTGGGGAACAAAGGCGGAGACATTAACATTGTTGACTACAATGAAAAAAATGTACTAATACCACAAGAACTGGGGCATTCAGAGTCTGCAGACACTCACTAAAGTGAAAGGTCTTCGCCTCAAGCATGATATCATTCCTGCTGGCTCTCAGCGTGATGCTATAACCCTTTTGGTCCTCAGCCATTCGCAACGATATCTTGCAGTCTGGAGAGCATGCTGAGTGATAGATGAGCTCCACATACACCTGCAAAGATGTTTTGAGAAAAAGTGAGAGCAGTGTTCATTTCTCAGACTAAACCAGAGTCCTGTACAAAAACAGATCAAACAGACTAACTCTGCCATTCCCCAAATTTACAAGTGTTCTTACCAGATGGCTGCTTGCAGGTCTGCAGGTGATGGTGTAGCTGTCTGTTCCTGGGAAGGGCTGAAACACGACTTCAACCTCAACAGGATTAGAATGCTGTTCGCAGGTCAGCAAGGCCACCTGAGGAAAGGCAAAAAATAAGACTGTTTGCTGAATATAAATATTACAACTAAGTGTGTGCAAAACTGTCATAAGCCACACACATTAAATAGCATCACAGATTATGAGCTGCTTTACAGACGAGTTAAAGCCGTGCAGGCCTTCATCTTACCTGACATAAACTAGCAAGCAGCCACAGACGCTCCATTGGAAATGTCAATCCATCTCATCTCAGGCACACCTTCCCAGCAGCCACCGATCAGCTGGATGCACACAATCACTTCCACGGCGAGAAACAGCGGATCCTGTCTGTGCTTTCGGCCATCGGGAGCGTTATAAGAAAACCCAAAACAGCTGTGCGTAAACATCGGCTGTGGAAAGTCCCAAGCTATTTGGGTCTGTGACGCACAGCTGAGTGTCAAGTAAAGTTTGAAAACTCTTTTTTTTGAAATGCCTTTTCTAAGACTTTGAAAGTTTTTGGAAGTGATGCACAACTACTTAGTTGTTTTAAATCGAGAAGACGCTTTTACTTCGGTTTCTTTTTTTTTTCGCAGAGGTTGGACTTTGAATTTAGCGCGTCGTCAAAGTCAACGTTTAATGGTTGTTTCCTCCGAGAAGCAGCGAGACTTATGAGGAGGAGGAGGAGGAGGAGGCAGCCTTCCTGTGAGTATGGGAGGAGAGAGAGAGGGAAAGAGAGATTGTGCCTGTATTAGTTCAACCCAATTTGTTCTGCCTCTTTGTTGGGATAAGAGCAGTTCACCATGACAACCGCGGGCACATGGCCACTCCAAGAGCAAGAGCTGGGGAGATGAAGATGTGGGGGCATACTGAGGGGATAAGAAATGTGGTGGGCTTTCATTGGCAATTAGGACATGCTCAGTGGGCAAATCCTCCAGCCTCACACCTCTGCCTGAGCAATGGTCAGCCACTCAGTCTCAGCAGACAGCTCTGAGATGTTGTTTTTCATGACTTCAGTCAACCTTTAAAATAAGCCTGTGCTTCAAATTGTTCGTAGCATTTCAGTGGCGAGAACGGTTTTGGCTCAGAAGCCGGGTGTGGTGGAAGCGCTGGCCCATGTGGAATGACAGGAATGTGAAAAGGGAGAAATGATTGACAGACAAAAAGCTGAGTCCACTGAGGGGTTCTGTTGTGGAAGGGGGGCAACTCCCACTCGGCAATAACCTCTCAGAAGTGAAATACAAACACATGTCAGCGCTACGGATGCTGAATCAGGACCGGTATGTGTGTGTAATAAGGGTCAGACAAGGAGGAAGTGGAAGGGTGTGTGAAAAGGACACACTGTAGGTCATAAGGGCACAGACGGTGTTAGTGTTGGAACAATTCAGACACGGACACTGTTAAATCGTTTATTAAACTAGTTTACTTCAAAAAACTACAAAGAGGGCAAACATCACATTTTGGAAAGCAATTCCACTTTTCTAAGGAAACAAAATACAAAGGCTAAATTTATAAGACAAACCAAAATGCACATACAATGTTGGAACACAACAGCTACATCAAAATGCAACAACTGCTGTTTCAACACGATATTATTTGTTAATATACAGTACGATAAAAGGCTAATGGTACCATCAGTTGTAAGCACTAGGACGCGAACTGGGTTGGCACAGCAAGTCTTAAAGACAATACAGACTAAAGTGCAGATAAAAACTACCTAAAAACAATCTCCCACGTACATAAGTTATGTTCAGTATATTTAGTTACAACTATGACTCAGGGTCAGTGTTGTAAAGTGTACTATTAAGACAAAATGAAACATTTTCATGCTTGTCTATTAGTACATTAAAATTCAGATGTTCCCTCCCCTCCCCACCCCTTTATTCATACATTCTCTTCATTTGTCCTCGTTCCGATTTCCACCTGGACTGCTGTTATTAGTTCCATTGGCAGGAACAGTCCAGAGGCTCTTGGAAGTTGTACTCCACGACTGTGGCGTTGCGAGAGCAGTAGAGTGTGACGGAGCGGGTTTGTAGTCCGCTCTCACGGCAGCACTTACAGAACCTCGCGTGACTGTTGATGTTGAAGTTGAATATGGTGGCGGATGGACATTTGCCATCACAAGAATACACCGTCACCTGTGAGAGGAAAGAGGATAATGATGGGAGGCAATATTCAACAAGGTGTAACTTTATTTTTTAAACTTATATTTTCACCACCTCAGCCTCCCTATTCTACATTTGAATCACTTATTTGTCCCTCACCGGCGCATTGCTCCTGCAGTCATCTTTTCTAATGGTAGTCCGAATGGCCACCCGCTTACACGTCTTGCCATCCTCTTTACCTACACAAATGTTCACACGGGGATGAAACGCACAAACTGAGTAACACACAGCAGTAGCTCCAGACACATAGGAACCTCAGAGTCATAACATGACATCACTAAAATAACACATCTTTTACCAGCAGAACACAGGGAGACGCAAGTTCAAAACATACACAAAGGAATGTGCACGTGCACACTGGCAAATACATGCTCGCACACAAATACACTCTGATCATTTTACCACAGAGGCCTCACACACCCTGAGATGCCTATTGAACAGGGCTCTTTGTTGCCCAGCAGCAGGAGCTTGCTTTGATTGACAGTCGGGTGATGGGAGGGGCACAGATCTCACAGCAGACGTCCACCAAATGGCTACTGACCTAAACTTAACCTTACTTTTAAACCAATCAAAGGTAGTCAATGAATTCTGTGCAGGCCTGGAATGTATGAGAAGAGTAGCTGATGGCTGCTTTTTTTGCTAATGGATGACTACAAAACACTGAATTGTTTCAAAGTAACTGCTAACACTTTGATTTGATGGAGCTTTTTCTATTACATTGCTTTTCATATTATTCTGTGCCTTTGAAGAAAAAAAATAAATTAAAGGATAAGACACACACACACACACACACACACACAGACACATACGCAGTCACACAAAGTTTAAAAGGGTAAGTGAATGAGTCACTGAGAGTCAGGATGCCAAAGAATCATTGTAAGTGGGAATAGTGCAAGATGGTGGTACCTGTGTCACAGTTAGTACTACCAGTGGGCGTTACAGGATTAACTGTAAATGGTAAAACACCCACTCCAGAACCTGGGAGCATCGTCGGGAGCACAGCCGTCCGGTTTCACAGAGCGTCAGGAGAACACAGGATTATGTTTTGTTCAGAACACACAGTTTAATGTCACACACAAACACATAGAGGATGGAATCAGTGCAGCTGGCATGCACATGGATTTCACTTCTTTTTGGGCCACTCCGGGCAGCCAGCCAAGGAACGCAGTCATTGGATGTACTACAAAGCTCAGCGGGGCAAACGCTAACCCCTGCACCATCTCACATCCTCATTGGTAAAACGCTCACTGTGGAGCACCCTGATTGGCCAAACTGCAAGGACACTGCGAAAGCAGGCAAGCGGGTAAGGTTGCAATGCTGAATCCAAAGAGAGAGAAAACATCACCACTGCATGTTTATTAAGGGTTTAATCCGAACAAGTGAGAAAAATCTTATTAGTCAACATTGTTTTGTGAAGTAGATGTGAGGAACAGTTCACAGATCATCACCTCGAAAGGACAAGTTATGTAATCACTATTAAATGATGAGTGCAGTGTGTGTAGCTGTATTTAATGTTTGTCACTAATTCTTAAATTTTTATCACCAAATATTAATTCTGTCTGAGTTGTGCTGGATCATAAATATGTCAACAGGAGATTTTGGGGACACCTTGGAAAGCCAGGGATTTTGAAACGTAGTCATAGGCCAACAGGTTTTATCACCACCCTCTACAAAAAGTCCACACCCTCAACCATTCAGCCAACAAGCTCATCCACTGCCAGGCAACAAGGCGCTCACCGCTCTAACTGAGTGCTCAAAGCATTACCAGAAGCCCCTAATAAATTTGGAGACTCACATGTCCTGCAGCAACCGTCCACATAGCTCTGAACCACACCACCATTCTGCAAGAAGAGAATAAAACGAGAAACCAGAGTTAAAGGGAAGCACAATTCAAAAGAAACCGGACTAACAGTTTAATACACAAGATTGATTTAGAAATCAATGAATCGACAAACAAAAGTTTAAAGTTGAAATGCTGGAAACAAATATTTCTCATCGGCTTGATCAAAGATAAATTCAGATGTGCAGTATATTTCGAGGTCCTGACCTGAATGCATTCCGTATCATTGAAAGGCGGGCACACCACCCCAGAGGCAAGTATCACTGCTCCCACCGCTGTTTCCATGCAGTCATAACGTGTGCAGTTCTCCACCCAGGAACTCCCTGCCTGCACACACAATCAGAATTAGCAGTGCTCACAAAAGGAAGCATTGAGCACATGTGGATTTTTGTTCTTACGGTGAAAAGCTCTGTTGTCCCGTTTTCATTGGTGAAAGTGCAGGAGATATTTTTACAGGAGCCGCAGCACACCTGAGGGTCCGTGGAAGATACGTAGACCTGGTGCTAAAAAGAGAAAGCCAAACAAAAGAAGCAGAAACAGAACACGGGGGATGAGATGCGTATCTACTTTCATTGATGTAACCTATCAAAGTGCACTGAATGTGTAGGATACGTACTGGTCCACATTTTTGGGAGCAGTTGACAGACGTGATTTCCATGGCATAGAAGCCAGAGTCTGGATCTCTGTGATGCAGGCACTGGACAGTGTAGCACAGTTCTCCCTCAAAGTACTGAACCAGAGACTGGCCCGGGCCCAGTACTGTCATCCCTTGGAAAAGACACACCTCTGCCTTCTCTGCATTTGCACATATAAACATGAAATAAATGATTATGCTGAATGTGAAAAAAAAAACAAAACGTCATGATAAATATGAAGGCATAAGGCACGGTGGAATTTTGAGATTATGAAGCAGATAAACAATGTCTACAAAGAGTCTGTTGTCGGACTATTTTTGGTGTCTGTGTGCTTTCAAGCATGGATTACACATACGGCATGCATGCTGAGGACAGCCACAGTTGGTACTGCTGTCCGGAAGCTCAACCAGCACCTCCCCCTGTGAGAAAATAGAATGCTGACTTCAGTGAATTTGCTCATTTTTTTTCTTCCTTCTGGCAAAAACCTGATTAGACAGTGACTTCTGATGCAGCTTTTTGCTGACTTACCACCTGACAGATGGGGAGAGAGCTGTCCTCACATTGGCATTCTGGGCGTGACAGAAATAAAGTTAAAGAGAGAGGTAGTGTGAAGTTTATACAAGTACGTGACAGGCATAACAACGTTGGGGATTATTGCAATCATCGACACAGCAGTAAATTGACACCGGCAACAAATAGTATGCAAGAGTGCGCATACGTGTGTGTGTGAATTAATGCATGTGCGTGTTTTTGAGAGTGTACCGCAGTGATGCTGAGGACAGCAATGCCCGGGGACGGCAGTTTGAACCAAAGACAGACCAGGTGCACAGCTCACAGATGATTCGGGGCACAGATTGGCATCGCACACTGAA